CCCCAAAACCCCAAAACCCCAAAACCCCAAAACCCCTCTATGAAAATATTAGTTGAATATAATTATAAAATATCGTTATCCCATATTTGAAATTTAACCTATCCTCATGAAGAAACAAGCATTTACGAGACCTCATCAGGGTAGAGAAGCCCAAGGGAATGTGGAAGCGGAGGATAAGTCTCCTTCATCTAAATATTCCTCCAAGTCGAATCATATAAGTGCCAAGCTTCATAGTAGTAATAAGAAGAAACATATGAAAGATCTTGATAAAGTTTCTACTAAGTTTGATCAGCAGATTCTTTCCTCGCTTAGACAACCTAAGACAATGAGTAGCTTAACTTCTAGAAATGCTGCTGCCAAAGGACCTACTAGGTATACTAGTGATAAGCTGAAGAACATCTCTCATACGGACAACTCTGTAATCTGTAGTGCGAATATAACCCATTCAATTGATTCAGTAGAAGGCGCCTCACATATATCAACAAAGACCGATCAAAATTACGTTCGGAAGCACTCTCCCATCAATATCAGCTCCATGATCAAAGAAGGGTCTGGCTTGAAGTTTAAATCAAAGATCAGATCGGATCTCTCGAGTTCTAGGAACAAGATGCTCAAGAATAAGACTTTACCTAATCTTATGAACTACACTGCAAAAGCTACAGCATTAATGAAGGGCTCTACAAGGTCTATAACTAAGAAATTCATGAACCCTACCAGAAAATATTATAACTCTAAATAAGCAGAATAAGACATTTGTTGGCCCAAAGACTCCTTCCGGCAAGCCTATTATGAAAACTCGCCTTCATGATTCTCACTCTACAAGTAGGAGTGGAGGGACAGGGGAGCCAAATTATTTGGACATGAAGAAGAAAAACCGCGATTTCTGTATGCTCTCTTCACTTCAAACTAAGAAATCCCTGTCTAGTTCCAAGCCATCTCTTGAAAATAATTTGTTAAACCAGAAAATCACCAATTTGACCAAGGAAAATGCTCAGTTAAAGCAGGATTATGAGAAGGTGAAACAACAAATGGAGCAATTAGACCAAAATCTCCTGAAATCCCAGAAATCTGTTAAAGAAAAAGATTTAGAAATTGTTAAACTCCAGCAATCAGTCACTTACAGAGAAGCTGAAATTGAGAAAATGAAAATACAATTCAAGACCGAGCGAGAAGCAGATCAGAAAATAGTCACTGAGTACATCAATGCAGAAAATTATCTTCTTGAACTTGTAGATGAATTTACCAACGGAATGAGGAAGATCTATGCTAATGATATCGAATTTAAAGATGTTGACATCCAAGGTCTGCCCTTCTGAGAGAGGTTCTCGAATCTACTCTACAACATCCTTCTTATCATCGACTTCCAAAAGCAATTCATAGTTGATCAGCAGTCTTACCCTCAACCAAACCCCTATATGAACAATGACTGCATCATTGAGGAGGATAACGAGGAAGACACAGATGGCCAGAACACTCAAAAGAAGTATAACGAAAATAGTGAGAGTGAAGAAGAAGTCCTCATCCAGAACAATTCAATTAGAATCCTAGATAATTCCCACAGGGAGTCACAGGAGAGTTCACAGAACCAAATGGAGAACAAGAGGTATTCCAAGGAGAACTCTCGTCATGATACTCTTCGTAATAACGAACAAGAGGAAGGCGATGAAGAACAGACTATACTGAGGAATAACTATGACTCTAATTTTAGCTTAGGAAAAGGACAGCAAGAAAGTCAGTACGATAGCAATCAACATGAGCAAATGGAAGAGGAGAAAGCAACATCTACTGAGAACGAATTGACAAGTGACGATCAAGAGTTCCAAGAAGAACCAGTGATTAATAAAACATTAGTCATGCTTCAGAAGGAGCTACATAAATCTTTGTTCAGCCCAAGCTTGATGAAAATAAATGAAAGCCCAAAAGTTAGTCTTCTGGCCAACCAGACGAATAAAAAGATTAGCAATATCCCGAATATTTTTGGTATGAATATCAGACCTTCTTCTGGGGAGATAATGTCCCCGACTTCAGAGGAGTCTTCTCGCCATTCTGTTCGGAGAGATCATCTCAGTAAAGATAATCACTACCAAATTCAAGATTCTGATTTCATTGAAAATTGAAATTCTGAGGAAGGCATAATGTCTCTAGAGTCTATTGTAATCAAGAAAGAGGAGCATAAGTATAAGCACAGTAATAATGACAGCATTGAGGAAGCCTTAACTCCAAACTTCATCACAAAGAGATCATCTGTTGGAGGGAACCAACAATCTGATCAACTACAGACTGACATTTTCTATAAAGAGAAGGAAGAATACCCGTATAACCTCCGACCTCCACAAATCTCTGTATTAGACTCAGAGCCTCACAGGTATGACGATGAGGAGTTTGAAGAGTCTGTTCAGGAATCTGAACAGGTTTATTGCTCAAATAGGGAAGACATGGAGAGCATCAAGTGTGATTTTGGAGGAGATTGTTAAAAAATTTAGGTATTCAAGAAATCTGTTTATTATTTTCAACTCCTAAAGGTGGACGGGGTTTTGGGGTTTTGGGGTTTTGGGGTTTTGGGG